GACCGGCAGTGGAGGCTCAAACTTCTGCTATTGGCTTGTATTTTAGACAAGATTATTAGTAGGGGTTAAGTTTTGGCTTTTCCTTGAAAAGTAATTTAGTTATGGACGATACTAATTTACAAAAGAAGAGCTAATGATCGATTGGAGTTAAATCCTTATTAGATTTGCATTGAGGTTTTATCGATCATTAATAATTTTTCTTGTGCTTATTATAAAGTGAGTTACATCTTAACATGGAAGATGGATTCATGAAGGATCATTTAATAATCACTTGTTAAGCATAGTTTCATTATGTTTGCTTTTTGATAGATGCAGACATACTCTTCATTAGCTTTTGCATTATGAAATTTAGTTTATGGATGTGTTAAAGAGGATATTGTGGGTTGTACCATAATTTCTTTTATGGCATTGAAGTTGGTTCATACAAGACTTATAATTATTGTTAGCGAGACTTGATTATAAGTTTTTATGAACTTTTGGTTCTTTGAGTTTTCATGCTCATTGTTCTATTCGTTAGGAGTTGTCAAGGGATGCATTTTCGCTCATTAGTTTTAATATTAAGTTGGTATTTATATTTAGCAATCATTAGTGATGATTGACTATCATCTAGGATAGTTGATTATCCTTATCAATGGTTTTGTTTGATTATTGTTAATATTGAATGATTTGTTGTTTTTTGGGATGGTGAATTATTTATTCAACAATGATTATACATCTCTCGATTGATGGGATCATTGATGATCTTTTATAATGCTTAGTTGTTCTTTTTGATGGCTTTTGGTTTTCTATATTATCACATATTCTTTGAGGCTTGTTTTGGATTGATCTCTTGGGTTTAAAATGTTAGTAAGATATTGCTAACGCTTTTTTGAGCAACTTGTTTTTTAGTATTATTGACCATAATTTATTTAAATTAGCTAATGTGATAATTGGTATAATTTAGTGTTTGTTGACCTTGTGACACCTTCATTCTATTCTATCGATTGTTGTTAAAGTTAGTTTTATTAGATTAAGATGTTTTTCTTTTGAGTGATACAACGAGTATTTTTCTTGTCAACTAATAATACTTTGTATTCTTTGAGTTATCTTTCATAAGGTTTTGGCATACTATCTACAATCTTTGATGTGTTCACACTTTGTGAAAAATGCACCAATTTAAATGAGTTATGGGGGCAATCTTTTTGTCTAACGCGAATGTGCTACAATTCAAACACTTTCTAGTAGTCACTAGTAAGGAAATGACTAATGGAGTAAGCCACCCTTACTGTTATGTGTCACCCAACTTACAAAAGATAATATGGCCCTGCCTACAAATGATATAGAAAAAAAAGCCAAAGGCTCCAACCCTCATGAGTAAGCAAACTAAACCTAAGTTTAAATAAACTATTGTAAATAGGTAGTTAAAGTTGTTTATATGGTCACACATTTTTAATAGAATAAGAAATATCAAGAGAGAGATGAGTTATATAACTAGTCAACAATAAATACCCCATGACTAGAGATTTCATTATGCACACAAAGTGCCAAAGCCAATCTCCTATACTAACCCAAACATAAAGATCAATAAAGGGAAAATATCAAAATCATAAACAAAGATATTTTAGAGAGAATGAATTATCAGTGAATTAACCTTATGTTAGAACACAAAAGTATTTTAATGAAGTTATCATCCAATAAACTAGTATAAAATAAGAACCACCAAGATCACTAGAGTTTAAAGTCATAGGATTAAACAATGAACAAAATTCAATAGCAAGTGTATTATTAAGAAAACTTAATGATAAAGTTGTGACTATGGGTATCAAAAGTTACCTGTTGATGAGTTCTTTCAAATATTCTTTCATTACTACCACAATAGTAGGAGGTTAGTATTGCTAGATTCTTTATTAGTCTCCACCTAAACTAGTTGAAAAACTAGTCATCATGTTTGTACTAATACCAGATAAATATTGTAGGAACTTTTATGTATTCCTTGCTGAGCATACTCAACCTAGCATGAAAAACTTATGTTATTAGCTTGCACTTGCTAAATTTTTTCCTTCAATACTCACTAAATGATAATTTACTGTGTTTGCCAAGATGCCCTTGCTATTATGCCCCATGTGTTGGATCCATTTGGTCTTAATGATTATTTATGAAAAGTGTTTAGATTTGCTAACATAGCATATTTATAGAATGTAGAGATTGTTCTGAACATAATGGTGCTAATCTTAGCATTGGGATGCTAAATGCTCTAAGATTGCTCCTATGTCACTTGGTGTTCTTGTCTCTTTACTTTATGGGCTAAATGTTTGAAAGTCATTATATCCCTTAGTTCTTTTACTTCTTGGTTATCTACTCAAGAGTTTGGCTCTATCCCTTTGTTTAATGGCCTAATGCTCTGAAACTCAGGTTCTATTCTACTACTATTTGATACATAGCCAAGGGTTTGGGTTCCGCTTTGTGGTTATTTTATAGTAGATCACTATAGGATAAAAGATGAAACCACATACACTACATAATGGAAGAATTGATAGATTTAATGTAAAAATGGAAGTGTTAATCTCTTTAGTAATAAAAGTTGTTTGTTAGTAGTTAATAAGGATATTGACATCTTTAGGAGAGGTGTGAGTGTAACATATGTAATTATGGGATAAGATTTAGATATATTGTCACCATGGATTCTTAGAATTTTGGGAGATAAATGAAAATAAAATAGCCACTAAAAGCTCTCTTATCAAATAATTACCCCTTCTCCAGAAAAGAAAAATAGAGTGTGCTATATATCGGGTTCAATTCTCATTGATTAATGGCTACTTAAAATATAATATACCCTTGAGCAAGATATATTCTTACCTTTAAAAATTGAAATTATACATATTAAACATCCATGAGTACATATTTTTTTCTTGTAGAGCATCCACAGATGAGGGTATTCACTATAGAATTGTGGTATGGATGGATGATTAATTGCCTTACATAGAATAATTGATTTATACAATGGAAGGATTGGTAGATTCAATGTAGAAATGGAGGTGCTAGTTTCCATTTGAGTCAATAAGGGTTGTTGGTCAATAGTCAATGAGAATATTAACATTTTTGAAGAGGGTGAATATAGTGTATGTGATCATGGGATGAGATTTGAATATATTATCACTGTGAATTCTTGGAACCTTGGGGGATAAATAGGGATAAAATAGGCATTAAAAGTTCTCTCATCAAGCAATTGCCCTTTTTTGAATTGGCTTAAGAGGAAAGAGATAAGATGCACTACACATGGATCAATAACTAAAGTGGTGTAGAATTAAACTTGAGTGGATATCATCCATAGAAATTTAAACTCATCACAAACTCAATAGTGTAGAACTAGATTTAGATAGATATCATCAATAAAAATTCAAACTCACCTTAAACTCTTGCTTGGGAGTAATAACCTCTAAAAGAGATAGTGGTAGAATATGAGCAAGATTAAAAAGGGTGTGATAAATTTTTAATAAGAAAATATGGAATATTAAATACAAACTCATAGATGGAGGAATAAATAACTTCAAAAGTACAAGAGAACACAAAGAAAAAGTTTAAGTATTGATAATCCATCTTGCTATAAGAGCCTATTGTAAGCGACTAAATTTTCCATTCTACTTTTGTCACTTAACCACACCTTTGACCCCTTGGAAGAGTCTCATTAACAACCTCCTTAAGTCCCATTCAGGACTTGGGACTTGCTAGTCCCGAGAATGACATCCATGCCACTCCTCCCTTGCACTTGGTCCAAGTGCTCCACGTGTCCAGTCCCAAGACTGACACCGAAAGGTACTACTAACATATTGGCCCGTTACGCTAAGGCCATGCCCATTCACCTTTGCCGCACTAGTGGTCCAATACCACTTGCATCACAATCCTGTCTCTCCAAAATTGGGCTGTCTGTCCACGAGTGGTCATCCCAGATCCATTCCTTAGCATCCTTA